ACTTTCGCAGAAGCACTTCATAGCACACCTATATTACTGTAGGACTAATGCAAGTGACTGGGTATCAAGGGAACTTCAGATCCTAGTGTAGCAAAGATGTCACTGGATCTCTCTTGGGTTGGACAGGTAGATTTGCAACCGTCAGCCAGCAGTGGCCCAGCCAGCACCCCACAGCAGCGTCACAGTCACTGCTCTGATCACAAGGACAGATCAACAGCCATCCATCCAACCAGCCAGGCCACTGCTCCACAGCCATTACTATCACGCATACAAACTTACTCGGTAAATTCTTCGCCCACTTCTTCCCACTCCTTCACAGTGGTTGCATTAACCATGTCCTCTGCTTCTTCCTCCTTCACAGGCGACTGTCACAAAATAAAACAAAACACATTTCAAAACCTCTGACAAAGCCAAGTTCTATTTGCTGAAATGACTTTCCTAAAGTATACTGATAAAGAAAAGAACAGTACCAAGTTTCTTATCTATATTTCACTCCATTCTTTTTATTCTTTTTTTTTTAACATTCTGCTATAATGAACAAACACCTACATGCACATGCAACATACATACTCTCATACACACACACTTACAAATACTCGCATACATTTGTGTGCGCATACAACCACATGAAAAAAGTTTTAAAAAATTACAGTAAGTGTCAAAAAGATTCAGTCTAAGGTTAGTGCCTCACTTCATCCTCCTTATCCTCTTCACGGCTTGCTTCTTTTGCTTGTTTTCCATTTCCAAACCCTTTCTCCTCTTCACCTGCTTCCTCACTTTCTTTCTCTTTTGTTGTTCCTCCATTTTCCTTCTTATCTATTTTGCTATTTCCCTCCAGTCCATCTTCGCCTTCTATCTCTGTCATTATTTCCCCTGAAAACAACACAAAAATAATCAATAATTAAACATTTAAACAATGAAAGCCTTTCATATAATGAATCTCTATTCATACAGAATTATCAATGTTCATCCAAAATGAGGTCAAAGTACTACAAACATTTAATCATCAAAACCAATTGAACAATCAATTTTACATCCTAAAAAAATTCTATCGCAAAAAATATTGCCAACACTATATCTAAAGAAAATGGCAAAGTTCAGTGTCTTGATAATTGCAAGGTCTTCTGACTTTCAGGCCAGCCTCACCCAGTTGACTCAGCTGAGTGTGAGTACTGCAGCCACCTGTAGTAAAAGTTGGGGTGGAAAGGAGCCAACCACTTTATCAAACCATCCCTACAACTTGCCAGGTATTTTCATCTCCATTTGTATATGGGACTAACTTCAAGCTTTTTGGCTGCGCCACAAACTCTAGCATGTGAACCTCCAACCAACCAACCAGACAGGTAGGACATACAAAAGACCAACAGACCTTGGAGTGCTGTGAGTCCCTTGTCGACCTCCTCCCACAGTTTAGCCTGGTCTGGATCGTCCTCCAAGTCACCCTCGGCCTCGTCTCCACTTATGCCATCTTCCCCCTGGAGGACAGGTAGGTGTTGAAGTAAACATATTAGAGGATGCAAGAAATTTAAGATTGCTGATGGCAGCACAGGAGAGAAGGGGGTAAGGGAAAGACAAAGAAGAAAGACAATTAAGCTTTAATGTACATAATATCAACATGAATGAAGTATAAGACATCTTATAAAAAATATCAATAATAAAAAAATAAAAGCACTAACACTGCCAATTTCTTAACTACAATATTTGAAAAAAGAAAAGAAATAATAGACAAAGGGGAAAAAGTCCAAACAATAACATAGGAAACTAGCAAATCAAAAACACATCAAAAAAGCCTTACATGGTGCGAAGCTGGGTGTTGGTCATGGTAATGTGACAGGTGGTCAAAGGAGCGGCAGTGCCTCTGTACAGCACGGGACCCTAATGAGGAATCAGCTCGGATGATTTTGTAACACAGGCTGCAGAAGTAGGCCTCAATCCGGCGCACATACTCAGTCCCTGTGAAAGACAAATATTTACTTTTCCTTCATGCTGGTTCAAGTGGATAGACTGGATTAATTGTATCCGGTTTCTGCCTAAAATCTAATAATTTTGGCAAAGAAAGGTTAAATGGACAATTATTGTAATGGTCAGTAGTTAATATTTGCACAATCCACCCAAAAAAAATTTAAAAAGGAAATTAAGCATATCTTTTAAGAGGGGGAAAAAAAGTATCAAAGAGACAGACAAACACTAAAATATCAAGATTAAGATACTAAAGAACATCCCATTTCCCTGCCCATTCCTTACCCAGTGGCTGATGCTCCTCTTCATCCTCGTCATCGTCCTCCTCTGGCTGATCTTTGTCCCAGTCTGACTCCATGGGAATGTCCTCCTCCTCATCCTCATCCCCCCGGTCATGTGCCCTGTGCCTCTTGCCCTTGCTGCTGCCCACATTTCGACCCCTGCGGCCATACTGCAGTTCATCCTTGCTCCTGTAGCGCCCATGTCCCTTGTTGCGGTTGCTGCTACTCTCCGACTCGTCTAAGTCCTCATCTTCATCCTCGTCTCCTGTTGCAGCTTCCTTTTCTGCGGCCTCCACAGCATCAATGCCCCCTGTGATCTCCTCATGCTCTGATCCCACCTCTTCATCATCTGCAAGGAGTCAGTCATTAGATTACATGCTTTACCAAGTCGACCCTTTTGAGCATAAATTGTGAGAGTAAAATGTAAATATTCAATATCCAATGCACTTGTATTACTGACGGTAATACACTGTATCCTTGCACAGACTCCATATTATTTCTCAAGGTAGTCCATAACTTAGTGCACGAATAAAAACTACACCCCCCCCCAATTTTCTGTAATACAACCTGCACTGCCACTTATGGTGGCCAGGAATAGGATGCTGAGCATGGAAATGGTGTCCTCCCTGCAGCTGGTGTTCTGCAGTCATGGCTCACAAACACTACATTCCGCTCTCATTTCTTGATAGAATTAATGCAAAAGTCCTTTCTAAATACCAAACGAGTCTAATCACCCTTCAGGAGGTTTGTGCACTTGAATTCCTTGGGAATTTTTTTCTTTTTTTTTTTTTTTACATTATCAAAATTATTGGAGATTAAGCACTTCACAGTGGACAGGACATATTATAAGTCTATATATCAGAAATCCTAAGAAATAATCATATGTTGTATGGAATTACATGACTAAAATCGCCAAAAACAAACTACAGAAAACCCCTCTATACAAGACAATCTAATTTTCTTCTTTATTGGCTTCTGTCATCATGACTATGAAAAGGTTTAAAAATCGAAATGATAAATGAATAAATAAAAAAAATTAAAATCAATAAACAAGATGGTGAACTTTATCCTTTTATCATTCCTCTGACTGTTAATTTCCATCACAGTTAAATTCAGCACATTTGCCATGTCTATCCAATGTACTTAAAAGTAGAGATGATGATAGTGAGGATTAAAAAAATAATGATACAAATTAATAATTTCCAATTTAATAGTTTATCAAGCTAAACTGAAAACATGAAAATTTTTCAAACAGTGGAAGACCTGAGGAGTTCGCATAAAAATGTCTACTTCCCTTCTGAACCAGATAATTTCTGGCTTCCATCTCCTCTTTAAGCCATAATCATTATACTAAGTGACTTACTGTTGCCCAACTGACGAATAAGTTCCTAATAAAATACAGTAACTATAAATGGGCATATACCTCTCACTCTCTAAGACAAATCTTACAGCTCAGTCAAGATGCAACTTCGCAACATATGTCAAACTTACCATCTTCTCCCACTGAGTCCAGTGTCATGAAGTTAGCCAAGTCGAGGTCAACGCCCTCCTCCTCCTGGTTGTGGTTCTCATTGCGTCGGCTGCCACCCTGACTGTCAATAGTTGCTGTCCTTACCTGCAACGAGCCCTGTGTTATGTATGTAATCTTATCACTTGTTCCAAAACATGTAGGAATATTATAATCATGTATATATTTCAATATATATATCAAATTCCAGAATGGGTGGGGGATGTGTGCGTGTGCTCATGTATAGTTTACTCATTCATTGCAGGCATCTTCAGAATGAAGGAATGTGCAGAAGGCATGAGGGGAAGGGCAAGGAGGGGCAGGGAGGGACAGGGAAAGGCAGGGAGGGACAGGGAAAGGCAGGGAGGGCCAGGGAAGGCAGGAGGGACAGGGAGGGCAGGAGGCAGGGGAGGAGAGGAGAAGAGGGGAGGAGAGGAGAGAGGGGAGAGGAGAGGAGAGGGGAGGAGAGGAGAGGAGAGGAGAGGAGAGAGGGGAGAGGAGAGGAGAGGAGAGGAGAGGAGGAGGAGAGGAGAGGAGAGATGGAGGAGGAGAGGAGAGGAGAGAGGGGAGGAGAGGAGAGGAGAGGGAGAGAGAGGAGAGGAGAGGAGAGGGGAGGAGAGGAGAGGAGAGGAGAGAGAGAGAGGAGAGGAGAGGAGAGAGGGAGGAGAGGAGAGGAGAGGAGAGGGGAGAGGGAGAGGAGAGGAGAGAGGGAAGGAGAGGAGAGGAGGAGAGGAGAGGAGAGGAGAGGAGAGGAGAGGAGAGGAGAGAGGAGAGGAGAGGAGAGGAGAGGAGAGGAGAGGAGAGGAGAGAGAGAGGAGAGGAGAGGAGAGGAGAGGAGAGGAGAGGAGAGGAGAGGAGAGGAGAGGAGAGGAGAAGGGAAGGAAGGGAAGGGAGAAGGGAAGGAAGGAGGGAAGGGAAGGGAAGGGAAGGAAGGAAGGCAGATTAGGGGAGGTGAGAGAGAAAGAAGAGGAGAGGAGTAGAGAGAAGAGAAAGGAGAAGGGAAAAAAGAAAATAGAAAAAAAGAAGAGAATAGAGAGGTGGTAGGGGAGAGGGGAGAGGGGAAAGGGATGAGGAAAGAGGAGAGGGGAGGAGGTAGGCATGGACACAAGAGGAAGCAGACTTACCCGTAGGTGGTTGATGGAAGCAATGTGATGCTCATACACCATACGGCTTGGGAAAGTGATTCTGCATATTCCACATCGAGGATGGAGATAGTGCCTCTGCATCTGTAGAATGGGACAGGTTGATTAACAGAAAGAATGTGACAGGTCAATTAGCAGTAAAATGTCACGTATTCCAAATTTGTAATGGTTAAATATAAATTAACAACATCCTCTGAGACTTCCAAATGACCAAACACAGACCAGTGATGAGATGTCCTATATGATAAATATGACTGCAGACTTAGGCACCAAGTGTTTAAGTTTGCTAAAATAAAAATATAATCAAGCATTTGTAGACTAGAAACCTGAAGTCATTTCGAGACACAGATAAGGGGCAATTTTACCAAGATGGAAAAAAAAGAAAGAAAAAAATAAATACAAAAACTCAGCAACATTTCAACTTACCCGATGTAGCTTGCTTCTGCTGTGGTGGCTTATGCCGTCACTTGAGTTTTTGCCCAGACACTTGAAAGCTAGCTTGCATGTACTGCAGAACCTGGGGTTAAGGCAAGGAGCAAGAGAAATACAATCAGAAACAAACTAAATTTGAATATTATCTCAATCATTTACAATTATTTTCTGACCCTTTTAAATATCTTTATCACAGTTAACGGTAGTTTCTGGATATGATATACCCCTTTCCTTTATGCAAGACTAATACACCCCTTTTTACCACAAGTGCTCACAAATTTATGGACTTCAGTTTGCCTATACAGGTAATACTTCTGCATATATTTTAACTTCTCATATAGTTACATAATGAAGCTGCTAAAGATTTATACTCGACAACTGATTAAGTTGTCAACTTGAAGCTTTTAAAGCTTTTCAAAACACAGTGATAAAACAATATTCTGCATGCACTCATCTTATCACAAACAACAAAATTGACAATTATGAATGTGACCTTTGTAAAGAGGAGTATATTTAGATTCCTATTTATGTGGTATTTGACACCTACAGTTTCTAAAACAACCAAAAACGAAGAATATACTGCAACTCAGGAGTATATTTTATAGTTCTACATTCATTTTACATTTTCCTTTGACATGAGAATAAGAAAGTTCCACATAATGATATTACTTGATGTTATCATACTCTAAGGTTACAGCCACACTATCTATTCAACCCATACGGAATTTGTTACATGAACTGTCCAAACAATCTCACCATGTCAGTAAACCAGCCTGCTACCCCACTTACTCCTAAAACATTTTCTAAGTGCTTCATGTGTTAAGTGAATTACAAGAGCATTATTCTAAGTCTAACTAGCAGTAACTCCGGTCTATTTCTTGTTCCTCAAAATCATTTCAAGATACAGCCATTTGAAAGTTATGGGAATGTAGTAGAAACAAGAGCAACTTACCCTTGCTAAATGGTGGTATCCACTCTCCTAAATACCCTCTCCCCCCTCCCTGTGTGCTGCTCTCACTGTGCTCCCTTCATTTCAAGCAAAGGACATTAGTTTTCAACATAAACACTTGAAAATGAACCATAAGCCCACAGCAATAGGGTTTAGTTATGATGGGTTGTGGTTACAACCTGTAAGCATTGTACCTTCCAAATAATGATAATGATGATTTCAAACACTGCTAATGTTGTACCATATTTTTAAACATCCGAAGAAGACTTCTAACTGGATTCTGACATTGCTATGATTTTAGGCCACAGGTTCCAAGTAACACCTTGAGCAAAATACATTATTTCTGCAAACCATGTGAAAGAATCTCAATTATAATACCAAAAGTGTAAGAAAAAAGTAAGGGTCAAGATGACTGAATAACAAAAATAAGCTATTTGCATGCAAGAAATGACAGAGTGATGAAAGGGGAAAATATCATAATGAAATCTAAAAATCATAACCAATCATGCCAATAGCATAAGTTCTACTAAACACAGGGAAACATAGCATTACCTGGTAACAGCTGACTTAAACTCCTCGCCATTCTCTTCTCTCCACTTTGCCTCGATCTCCTTCTGCTCCTGTCTCTGCTGCACCCTAATCTTCCTCAGCACCACAGAGTGCTTCCTAGCCAGCCGGTTCAGCTGCTGTTTGTGCCCCTCACTTCCCAAGTGGAACTTGTACTCCTGTGGGAAAATGTTGACAATCTGGTAAGTTTGTTGACATCTACATCTTTTAGGTTCTTACTGTTTATATGTATGTATGTATGTATGTATGTATGTATGTAATCTTTTTTCTTCTTTCTTTTTTTTTTTTTTACTGAAGGACAGGAAATGAGTCTTCTTACAGTTTATACATACATATATATAGATATTTTTTCTGCTAGACAGGAAATGAGTCTACTTATAAACTTTTATCAAGCAATACCATAAAGGAGTTTATTATTCTTTCTTTGCTTTCAACCTAAGGTTAAATTCTAATGTGCATAATGCAATGACAGTGTCTATTTGTAGTAAATAATATATTATATTGTCTCTAAGCTTATGCTTAAATGCAGTCTTTGTAAGGAATCCAAATAGTGATATGTGGAATGCGGAGGACACTGACTCTGCTGTATATACAATTATATTCTATCAGCTATGCTAGGCCGAGTTGATAATACAGATTTTCAACGTTAGTCTAGGGCATATACAAAAAGAATGAATCCACATATTAAAGGGTTAGTCTGTGTTGGCCTAATATAAGATAACTTAAATCTCAACACCTCAAATACCATCTTCACCATAATGCAAAGAATACCATTGTCTTCCCTAATCACTTCACCATCAATGGCAAATTTGTGGGATACACGGTAAATACCTCGATAAGGCTGGTTATCCTGCTAACTGCATTGGATATTATTCTTTCAGCATCTATGCCTGTATCTACATCCTTAGAATTAAAACATATGAATAGGCAAGCAACATCTTTCTGGCATGCAGTATTTTGCTAACATTTGACATGTAAATCTGTCTAAGTATTCAACAATATGGTATTACATTGAAATCTTCTTTTCATTTTTTTTTTCCTTATTCATAATCTATTATCATGAAGTTTAAGCCAATTAACATTAAAGTGAAAGCAATGTTTACACTTTGAATGTAATAAAATTTATCAGTTCATAGGATTTTACAGCTGAGACCCTAAACTTCATTAACCCCTACAATCTGGATACAGTTACGGTCTCGTCATGGAAAAATCTGGGTCAAGGGCCGGGTGAAGTGAACACGCCGTCTTCGGGCAAATTGGCTGAGGGCTGGGTGATGCAAACTTGCTGTCAAAAGCAAAGGCCAAGGTGACGGAAAAGACTCGCCACAAGTGCAAAAACCTCTTGGAGCATGATTTGACTCGTTTGGCACTTAGAAGGGGTCTTTAGCATTATTCCCATCAATTAACAAATGTAGAATGTAACATGTGTAAGCCACGACTTGAAGAGTGCCAGCTCCTGGAAGGACACCATTTCCATGCGGCGTTGATTTTATGGAAAATTGAAAATTACTAAAAAATAAGATATATGACAAAATTAACCCAAATGTTACATCTTTTTTTTCTCTTGCACTGAGTCATTTACTACTTAGAGAGATGATATGGAGTCTGTGCAAGGAAAATAAGCTATTACCATCTAGATCAAGCAAATCAAGATATAGACATTGGAAAATGGCAAAAAGGCTAAAAAGTTTACACAAAATAACTTTGCAAAGGGGAGGCACATATTGTTGTCACCGCTCCTGCATGTTCGGACACACTCGGACAACACAGCAAAGCAGCAAATGAAACATGCATGCATTTCATTAGTTTCTAAAATCAAAGCACAGAAATGTCAACAGGATTTGGGAGTCATTTTCTTGCTTAAAAAAAAGAGAAACAATAGTTGATATGTTATGACGGTATGTGTCATCAAAGCCATAGTAGTTCATTTCTTCGTTTTTTCTTTTTCTGTCAATAAATATTACAGTTTGATTTTAAACAATATAAAAAAGTGAACTCCTCTTGTATGATTAAGTTTCATATCAGTAGTCAAATAACATCATGAAATTAAAAAAACATTTCATTTGACGAATCACATGCATTTCTTCCCTCCTAGATATATCTGAATTAGCATACTCATGATTAGAAGCTCCTACCTTGAAAGTAATGGACCTCTGGCTTGGGCAATGTGGACATCTGAGTTCGACAAAGAGCCGACCGGCCACTCGCGTCCTCACATGGCCCTCACTGTTCACAGCTCGCTCCCCATCAGCACGGATGGTGACCTGCACTCCGCTGGGCCCACCTTCCCCCTCTCCATTGCCATTACCCCCTGCAGCCACCTCGTGGGAGTCGTGGCCTTCCTTGGGGCCCTCACTGTGGTGCTCCCTGTCACGCGGTCTGTCGTGGGTTGAGGCAGCACCAGAGTCGTTTTCGGCAAATTCTTCCCTGTGAGGACTGCCTCCAGCCTCAATGCTCTCCATTCTGATAAATGTTACGACACATTTTTGTCATAGGGTTTTACGGTGGTGGGGAGGTTTAGTTGAGATTGTTTTGACTGAGAAAAAAGCAATGTAGATACACACCTTGACTAATAAGACTAATTCTGGAATGGTTATTTCAATTTGCAAAAGCTATGATCAAATACACACACATAAAAAAAGTCTAAAAAATTTAATTACATAGCTGAATGCAAAGCACTTTCACATAAAGGAAAACAAAGACAAAACATAAATGCAAGGTATAGTAAAGTGTAGAGAGAAGTCATAAATAATGTCTCCTCATCAAATATATAAATGAAAAAAAATGAATAATTGGCCTTATCACACCCATCACCTAAAGCTTCAGCCATCCCAACAACATCTTTTTATAAAAAAATTCCTCTCCTCCTCTCTCTCCTATATCCTCTCCCCTCTCCTACCCCCAGTCCCCTGTCCCTCCTCCCCCCCTCCCTCTCTCTCTCTCTCTCTCTCTCTCTCTCTCTCTCTCTCTCTCTCTCTCTCTCTCTCTCTCTCTCTTCCTCTTCCTCTCTCTCTCTCTCTCTCTCTCTCTCTCTCTCTCTTCTCTCCTTCTCTCTCTCTTCTCTCTCTCTCTCCTCTTCTCCTCTCTCTAAATATCGTTACATATGAATATTACATGTGTACTAGTACATATTGACCCTAGTATACTCACCATGTCCCCTGCT